GTATTTTTAAAAAAGATTTCTGTCTGAGATTAAAAACGTTTTCATTTTTATTTCATACAAAAAAATAAAATCATTTTATAACGAATTCTAAACGCCCCTCACTCAAACACGTTTATAAAAATTTTCTTATGGCCGCACATCATAACCACAGGCTTTGTCCCCTTAACATATACATAATTCGTCACTTTGGTGAGTACTCGCCATCATCGATGACGTTTTCCATTATTTGAATAAATTAAAGATCATATTTTTCCACATATATACTTCTAGTAGACTAGTACTGTATTTTTATTGTTATCTTATCATTAAGAATAAACGTGCTTTTTTTCTGTTGATGAATAAAAATAATTATCGCAAACTTAGTCAAGCGAGATGTATCCATTCTCTTGTAAGCATCTAACAAGGACCTAGGAAAAGAATAGTCATTTTAACATCTTTAGTATAGCAATACATTAGCCAAACCGGCATAAAAGTCTTCTTACAAGGAAAAATAAAATAAAATAAAATACAATACTTGGCCTGTATTATTAAGCACGTTTTTATTATGTAATTGCTTAAGAAAACCCAATTCCGTAAGTCATAAGAAGTTGTTGACAGCGACATTAACGAATACAAAACCTCCAATTGTTAGAAACAGATTGCGATTACAAGTGGATCCTCCACTTTTTTGTTCTTGGTCCTCTTCTTTTTTGGCCTTTCTTCATGATTATTATTTGGAAGGTGCTTGAGGATTAGTGGAAGGCTAGCTGGACAGACATAATGTCCGATAATAAGTATAAGGTGGGTCAGAGTTTTTTCTATCAGTGTAATATTTATTTATATATATTATGAATTTATGTGAAGGGGTTATCCATAGGTTTCTGTGAGCAAAAACGGAAAGTATAGTTATCCATAGTTTTCAACTGTTGTAACAAATTAATTAGACAATGAAATACTAATATATATTTATATATGAATGAGTTTTTTTTAATAGTTACATTTCTTTTGATAGTTATTATTAAATATAAAAATTTAATCACATGGTGTGATAAGAATCTAATTTAAATTAATTATTATAATTTTTTTTAATTAACTATCTAATTTATTATAACTGTCAGATCAATATATTATCATTAACATAATAATACCCATCTCTAGAACACCCAGGTAGTAAACAAAAGAGTTTTGTAGTATGGTTAATTAGAAAATAAATTCTCCCAACATATTGGGCTTGTTATGAAGTGCCCTTTGGCACATTTAATATGCGACTTGTACAAATAATAAAGGTTGAAATCAATTGTTGTCGATCAAGAAGTCGTTCTTAAAGATGCTTAAGGACGTTTTGGTGATTTGAATGTATGGTTATCTACAAATATTCTTTCAAATCAAACCTGCAGCACCAAGAGTTTTTGCGTGTTTTATATGTGGACATTGTGGGATTCAGATCCTTTCACGTACGATTCATATGATTCGTCTTCATCAAGACAAGGCAAAAATAAAGGCCGAACAAACTAGTGTGGTATCCAAATCCAAGCTCTCTACCATTATTACTCCTTTTGTTCACTTTTTAATATAGAGATAACATCATTTTGATACTCTGTTTTATATAGAAAACATGTTCTTAATATTTTATGATTTTTATAATATTAAAACGGTATATCAACGTTTTTAAAAATATTTTTAAATATTCTGAAATTGATTTTTAAAACATGTAATATCCAAACTACTACTCTTATTAATTAAATAAAAATCAATATTTTTTTAAAAAAATCTGAGAATATATTTTAAAACATTAAAATATTTAAAAGAAAATAAGAAAGTAAAAAAGTTCACGATTTTTCTTTAGATTTATTACTTTTGGGTTAATTAAATAAAATAGTACTAAGATCATTTTACGTCTCAAAAATCACTTTCAAGGTATCAAGAATGTGTTTTCAAAAAGGTGAAAGTACTATTTTAATATTATAAAAAAATACATTATACTAAGAACATGTTTCACCATAACACAAAATATCAAAATAATTTTATACTCGTATATATTCACCAAAACTAGTACAAGTGCGTCTATGTATATCAAAAATATATCAATGAGACTGAAAATCAGAGCGGGTTTGTGCAAATGATTTTATTTCTAGTATCAGAAAGGAAAAAGAAACAAACTTGAAGGTGGAGGAATTTAAACTTCTTGAGACCTTAATATTAGAGATAAATGTGAAATTACCGGTAAGATATCTTCAATCGCCAGCTATTATTGCCCCCAATAAAAAAAAAAAGATTTTTCCTAGTTTGGCTCTTCTGAAATTTTTACAATATATGCACACAATTGTTTTGAAAATTTTCAATTAAACTCCAAATTTTGACTTTTATTTTTATTTTTTTTAACTGAAGAGAGAAGCCAACTAGTATTAAGGCGCAAGAAAACATCCCAACTAGGTTGGCACTTTTTGTGCAACTATCGCATGCTAAGACTGCACCAAAATTTTGACTTTTAAGTATACTCATATGTTTAACTTAAAACATCTTTGATAAACCAAAATCAACTGTATAATTCTATATAAATTCATAATTTTTTGGATTATCGACTTTAAAAAGTAAATTTAGAGAATAAAGGAAATAAATAAATGGGGTTTTTTTTTTTTAAAAAGTAAAATACAAAAAGATTTTTGAAAAAAAAAATAGTTTTATTCACGTTTTCTCTTGTATATTATGTACTCATATGCTCAGGAAAGATATTTATGGTCTAAAATCATTATTCCGTTATAAAAAATTGAAGTAGGACAATGCATTGCCTTATCTCTTCGTCTTAAAATAGTTAGTTGATTAAAGAAAAAAAAATTACTTGAGGTGAATCTTGATCTCAAGTACGTAAAAAAATGGATGTGCATGAGATAGATGGTTGTAAATTAAACACGTAAATATATATATATATGCATGAAAATACTGCTACGGGATCACCTGCACGTATGTGTTCACGCCATACAGTATGTATGAACCAAAGTTAATTGGTTCATTTTTCATCCAGAGATTAGGTGTAGGGCACCAAGTACCCAAAATTAACCACATTCATTTTCTGGCTAATCATGATTAAATTTCAACCGCTTAATTATTATTTTTTTGTTTTACTATTTCAAATAGAAATATTTTTCTCATGTACCTTCACGGCCTCTATAAAAGCATGCACCTATTGTTGTATTTCGTCGCACCTTGGCTTAATTACTTAGTAGTAAGTAATTAGAAATGGCATCATCAGTGCCAATATTGTCAGACTTTGAGAGCTCCATCAGCGTTCAGGAGCTCATCAAAAAGCCCTTGATCACCGTTCCACAGCAATACGTTCGTTTTGACCGACCGCCGGTGACCGATCTCTTCGATAATGCCTATAGTATCGAACCGATCCCCACAATCGACATGAACAATTTCGTCGTGGCCGCCGGCGAAACCGTAGATCTTGAACTAGAAAAGTTGCACTCCGCTTGCAAAAACTGGGGCATCTTTCAGGTTCCTTTTTGTTTTTTATACTAGAATTTCTTGATATATCCTTGTAATTTCGGTTCTACTTATAAATATGATTTGTGTTTGTTGACCATAAAAAAAAAAAAAAAAATGTTTTGTTGTTTCTACATACAGTTGGTGAACGGAGTTAGCCCTTCATTGTTGGAGAAGCTGAAACACGAGGTTGAAGCGTTCTTTAAGCTTCCTTTGGAAGAGAAGATGAAGTACAAGATAAGACCAGGTGATGTTGAAGGCTATGGAACAGTAAACCGAACGGATGACCAAAAAGTTGACTGGAGTGATAGGGTGTATATGATACTTAACCCTATCACCAAAAGAAAACCGTATCTTTTTCCGGAGCTCCCTTCATCTCTTAGGTACCCTCTTAATTTACTTGTTCATATCACATCATATATATATATATATATATATTGCTTGAAATATTCTTTTTTCTTTTTCTAATAATTTTTTATTGCATGTAAATTTTTCAGGACCACGCTAGAGTCTTACTACACGGCGTTGCAAAAGCTTGCCATGACACTTTTTGGGTTATTGGGAAAAGCTTTGAAAATAGATCAAGAACATGTGATGAAGGACTTATTTGAAGATGGGATGCAGTCAATGAGAATGACATACTATCCGCCGTGCCCGCAACCGGAGCTGGTTGTCGGCATCTCGCCTCACTCCGACCCCACGGGCATCACTATTCTGCACCAACTTAACGGAGTGAATGGTCTCCAGATCAAGAAAGATGGGGTTTGGATCCCTGTGAACTTCCTTCAAGATGCCTTAATGGTGAACGTTGGGGATATTCTTGAGGTCTTCAATACTTGATCTCTTTTGATCCTCTTCAATTACTTTTCCGATAAACCTTAATTGATTAATTTATCCAAGAAAATAAGGGAAACCCGGAATATAATTTTTAATTCGTGACTTGAGTAGTTTATATTAGCAACCGACCCAAGAAGATAGGAATTTGTTTCAAATAATATATACATACATACAATTAGTAAATATGTATATGTGTGTGTGTGTGTGTGTTACAAAGCAATTTTAGAACACGTGATCTCCTTTAATATAATCCGCAAGCAAAACTTATATTAATTGCAAGTAATAAATATAATTGTATATAATTTCTCTTTCTTAGAATTCATTATTATTTGTTGAAGATTTTCTGCATGCATGACTCTATATAGCTAAGTTTTTATTCAACAAATTAAAGAACAAAATTAACTATTTAGATAACCAATTCCAATATCGTTAACTGTCAAAGCTTCTAATTTATGAAAATATGTGCTTTATTTATTTATTTATTTATTTCAGATCATGAGCAATGGGGCCTATAAAAGCATTGAGCACAGAGTAATGGCAAATTCGAGCAAAGAAAGGATCTCAGTTGCAGTGTTCTTCAGCCCTAAATATGAGGCAGATATTGGGCCTTCGGCTAGTTTGGTTAATCCACAAAATCCACCATTATTTAAAAGGATAGGAATGGAAAAGTACGTCGTTGATTTTATCTCCCGCCGTAAGCTTGATGGGAAATCATTCTTGGAGAAAATGAGGATCAAAAACGGCGAAAACACCAATAATAATATTTCTTAATTCATGAAAAAATATATGCTGGTTTGTCATTAAGTAATTAAATACGTGTGTGGCAATATATATAGGAGTCATGTATTATGTACATATATAACGAAATAAGGCCACATGTATTGTTAATAATGGCTCCATGTCCAATATATCTTACTGAGTGAGAATTACCCAAACCAGTGCCCTAAAATATTACACGTATAAATAATGATCTGTATGGTGGCTGTGAGGATAAATTATCTTTGTTTTGTAATATAGTTGGTGATGTAATAAACTTTGTAATATAATTATATATCTTTGTTTGTAATAAACTTTGTAATATAATTATATATCTTTGTTTGTAATATAGATATAACTGTATATGTTTGTATAATGATTCTTGTCATTTTATTGGTAAAAGATTTTAATGAGGAATTCATTTGGTTTTCAAAAGAAGTAGGTCATGCATGCTAGACTCTCTAGGGGTTGGTTCGATTGATCAGTTTGGCTGTAGTTTCTTACTTTCGGCTTTTGTTTTTTCATTGTTTTGCCTTTTTTTTTTTTTGTCTTTCTGGTCTTTTTAGCTATGATGAGATTCTTTTTTTTTTTTCTTAACTTTTTTTAACCTTTCGAAAAATTTCAACCTTTTTTTTCTTTCATTTTGTTTTCCCCTTGAAGGATATTTTGTTCTTTTGATAATTAAAATTTAGCATTGATTGATCCAACGTATAAATTTTATACTTAACATATCATGGTATCTCTCTAACAATGTGTGAAACGATATTATATTTTTTAAGAATAATGTTAGAGATACCAACTCAAATTTTAATTTTTGTGTATGTGATATATAAGTTATCATTTTTATATTAGCAGGTTTTTAAAATATTATCACGTCAATTAATGATAAGAGATTGCATTCACCAATAAAAAAATAGCAATTCACATGTCACTTCAATTAATACACAAGAATTAGCATTTGAGTTAGTGTTCCTAATATTATTCATTTTTTAAATAAATTCAAAATATAGGGTACATATATTTTTTTCTATAAACATTTCAACTAGTAAAAATTTGTTCGGTAATAATTAGATAAAGAATATAAGTTAATTGGTAGCTTTAAGTTTAACCATTATTTTTATATGTTAAACTTCGTAACTTTTTAGGAACCTTCTCCGGTAGGCCAACCTATCGGTAGGGTCAGTATCTGACCATTGCATTTAGTCAAAATCACATCAGATTGAAAAATTATGCAGAATAGACAGTTTTTTATACAAATCTGATAGCTGAAAAATAAAGAACTACCGATAGTTCATTTTGTCCGGAAGAAACTCCTAACTTTTTAATAAGTTTATATTATTATGTTGAAAATTTTAATATCTTTAAAGTTGAAACACATTTATAAATTGGTTATGTTTATATTTATTTATATATGTGTTGACGGTGATTTTTCGTCTACAAGAATACACCAAGTTACCACTTGGTAACCGGCCTGATTACCGGCCAAATTGCGTGTAACTGACTACTTGATATCCGGTTAATTCCAATTAGAAAAGTGAAACTGGTCGTGTATGGATCTTATGGATATTTAGAATACGAATGTAATGTAAGAAAATGAAAATAACACCGGAAATTATAGTGGTTCAATCTCAAGGTAAGAGCTACGTCCACTTTGAGAAATTTCTCTATGTTTTCTTTCTTTTTGATTACAAGGGGGTTTGCTCTCTCAAATGACCATCCCCCTTTCTCTCTGGGGCTTTGCCCCTTTTATATCTCACAGATTACATTTTGGAGAAAACCGAGTTAAGTGGTTACCCAGCAACTCCTCTCAAGTAGCCTATTATCCTACTCAACTAGATTGTAGCTATTCAGTACCTTTTCAGACTGTTCATCTACCTACTTTGTCCACTATTTCGACTATATGACTCTCACATGACTTCCCATTGGTCTGTTTTAGGCGGCTAATAGGCTAGTAATCATTTTTCTTACCACTGACTTTGTTCATACCCGTAAGTAACCCAAGGATTTCCAAACTGTCACCTCAGGGGATACTCTTGGGATCTGGGTCAGAAGACTGAATGTGCTACCCTCTACGTTCTCACTGGGCCCTAATGACAAGTTAAAATGGAACCTTTGTCCCTATTGATCCTCCCATAGCATCGTCAGACTATGGGGACTTTGGATCCGTCTCTGTCCTTACCGCTTGATCGGTCGACCGTCTTTGTGGATGTTGCATATTACAAACTTGTTGTTCTCAAGCGTTTCTTCAAGGATTATTTTGGAAGGTCATGGGGCGGTTAACCCTTCTTTCACTGTTACCGACACTCATCTTTGAAAGCTGATCCTTCGACCTTCAGCGCTTGTATGTTGGCTGGCGTGGCATGGCAGTGCCCGTGTGGAGCTTGGTTATCGTTTGACGTGGTATGGTAGAAATTCCCTCACAACAGCTGCCCCCCAGGTCGAGGCTTTCTTTTGGACTGTGTCGAGCTTTAATTACAATGGAACTTTCCCTAGCCTCTTCGCTTGCTTCGAGTGAAGGAACCTAACTCTGAACCTCCTTTGCAATAATTGCTCTGATGCCTAAGAGGTTCATTAGGCAGTGCAAACGTCACGTCGATCCAGTCACCATGTTGACACGATTTCCCATTTAAACAGACAAATCTAGGACATTACGTCACGCATTTTCAGTTTCCTGCTCTTTTAATCGTCGTTGGATCGAGCCTCTTCGCCTTCACGTTGGATGTACAGTTTTCTCATCCGAGTCGAAGTTTTTCTACTTTTATAAATAGCCCCTTAAGCCATCCTTAATTATTTCATCCATTTCTGAACGGTAGCCAAAACTCTGCCCAAATTTCCCCAAGCCCCTCTCTATTTCCTTCATCTGTAAACTCACGATTCTCCAGTGAAGTTCACTTCAAGTCTCCGTATCTTTTCCATTTCCTTTTTTCTGGTAAGCATCCCTCATCTATTTCTCCATCTTGCTTTGTTTTTGCAGTGTGTTAGGTGTTTATTCCATTTTCCTACTTTCACTTTGCTTTCGCGCTTGCATGCAATGATTTTTGTAGGAGATAGGTTAGAAATAGTGAAATAGGGGTAATGAGACCTTCTTTCAGTGCTTTTTACGTTGTTCTGAACTAGTTGTAGGAGTTTTGGTTGAGCGTGTTGAACTTTAGGTTATGGTTTTCTATTTGGCTTTCTAGGTTTGCTTGAGTTGTCATCACTTTGTATGAATAGCCATCGTTTAGTTCATATACAAGCTTGAATCATCACCGCTTCGTATGAATGGTCATTGTTTTTTGCCTTAGTTTTAATATGACTACGCCTGTTAGGTCATTTAGGCGTCGAACCTTTATTTTCTTCTCAACTCTCGACTTATAGGATACTTACTTTAGATTTATCCTTACAGTCATGGCACCAAAAGGAGTTAGCCATCGAGAAGGGTTGTCTTATGCGCCTCTTGTGAGGTCGGACCCTTCTCCAGTCGTTGATTCTTCTCTCTCCACCAATAGTGACCCCGTGCTGCAGAAAATCGAGGAATATAGCCCTAATCCACGGGATGATGAGGACAGTGTCGACCGCTTGGTGAAAAACGAGGAAGAATAAAAGGAATAGGCCGAACCCTCCACGTCGGGTGCTTCCTCTGACTCTTTAGAGGGGAGTAGCCTGTCTGGCTACAACGGGCGCTATTTAGGCGTTCCTGTGGCAACAATGGAGGCATATGCCGAACGGTCGTCCTTCACCGCGGACTTTACGGCGCCGAAGACTCGGGAAAGGGACATCATCCGCGTCATTAAGGATACACAATGGAGGCATATGCCGAACGGTCGTCCTTCACCGCGGACTTTACGGCACCGAAGACTCGGGAAAGGGACATCATCCGCGCCATTAAGGATAGGCACGTCGATGGTTTAAGTATCTTCTCCCGATCTGAACTTTCAGATGAGCCTTTCACCCCCGGGATACCTCTTAGTCTACACCCGGGCTTTCATAACAGGGATGACCCTTCCCATTCACCCATTCATGAAGGATTTCTGTGAGTTCCACAGCATCTCCCCCACACAGCTGGCGCCTAATTTCTTATGTAGTTTTTTCAGCATATGGATTATCTGGGACCAGAAGTTCGACGTGGATTTACAGCTAGACGACTTCCTTTTTGTATATAAACTCTGCCAGGTCATTAAGTACGATGGCTAATATTATTTGGGTAGTCACGGGCGATCCAAGCCCGTTTTAGGTAAACTAATAAAAGGGTTGCCTTCATCATCACATGCGTGGAAGCTGATATTTTTTATGGTGAAAAACATGTACAACGTTCACCCCGCGGACAAACCATTTAAGCGCCGATAGGTGCAGACATCTTTTGGAACGTTGAGTTAGTGCCCCCTCTCATTTTCTTATACTTAGTTGGAAAATACATACATGTTTTTCTATATTGCTAACCCCATGTTTTTTGTGCAGCCCCCTAATAGCGTCCCAAACTTTTTGGAAGCTAGAGGACGAAGGTTGGGAAAGCTTTCAGTTTCCCAGAAAGTGAGCGTCACATTCTTGCTCTCTAGACGCGGGAGAACCTTAGAAGATCCGGCCTCCTGCTTTTACTTCCCGACCCCGCGAACACCCAGGCAGTCAAGGACTTTTTTCCATTTTACTGTCGTAGGTTAGTGTTATCCCCTCATTTTGGCCTCGTCTGCTTATATCTGTCGTCGGCCTATTTACTTAGCTTTATTTGTGTTGCAGAGATAAAGACCCTCCAATATTGTGTCCCAGGTGAGAAGGGGTGCTCAAGAAGCAGAAGCCTCAAGAGAGGGCCAACGCCACTCCCTCCTCTACTCCGTCGAGGCCACCTCCGGCGGCGGAGCTTGATTCAACCCCGGAGGCGTCGAGGCCTAAGAGGCATGGCCAGGAGGGTGTATCGGTGTCAGAGGCAGCGCCGGTCTCAGTTGTGGAAATATTAGATGTCCCTGAGGGTCCTCCACCCCAAGATCGCCTCTTGCTCCCAGAGGCGAAGGTTTTGGTCCCTAAGTACATAATTCATTATGTCTCCGACGTCCAGGTCGAGCCAGCGGCAAGCCTTTTCGCCTCAATTTTTCGTCATCTTCTAAGCCCTCTACGAGTCCTTTTTGATAAGGATTGGGCTATCGCCACTAAGTTCTCGTTCGTCGACCGTACGCGTAAGTAGATCTCTCACCAAATCCATGTAAGCTTCAAAGCCCATTATCCTCTTCTGCATGATCCTTCTTTGTTT